ATAAATTGATATTTTTAAATATTTTAACTAGTTAAAAAAATTATAGTTTAATAAAATTAACTAAATCAAACACACTTTAAATTTGTATAATATAATAAAAATAAATTTAAAACTGGTAAAAAATTTCAAAATTGAATAAAAATTTTCAAAGTATAATGTTTAGCACCCAAAACTCAATTTACAAAATTATATATTTATAGCGTTAGTTTAACACCTCTAAAACTAGTCAAAAGAAGCCTTTTAGAAACTGCAGTTTTTCCTCCTATGCAGTCCTATCAACCTCCCCTCTAAAAAAACTCCTATTGAAATTATGTCAAAACTGCGGCTATGTAATAACGAAATTATTGTCTTCTTTCTTAAAATCTTCATTTACATAATTAAAACTTCAATTTAGTCTCAAATTCTTACGCTTACATAGAAAATTCTTTCAAAGAAGGAACATGTGCCCAAAAAAAAAAAACAAAACAAAACAAAAAAACAAATATTAATTAAGATAAACATGAAAGCAACGCCGTCTTGGAGCAGCCACCGCCAAAAGAAAAAGAAGCCATGTGAAAACCGGTGTCTTTGCAGACAACCCAACCTAAGATGTGCTGGTCTTGTCTGTGTCCTCTAAAGCATGCTTCATGCCTCTAATTGCTCGTGAAATTGTAACAGCAAGTTTCTTTTTCCACTGCTCTAAAATATTTCTCACGAATTTTACGTGATAATTGTTCCGCACACTCCGGGGTGCACTGGGCCACTTGCAATTGCGCTATTTGGTATAGTGGGTGGAAGAGCCTTAAGTGTTGTGTCTGATCAGCACTAGGGACTACCGGATTCCGGTAGGGACACCAATTTTCCCCCTATTCCGTCCTTTTACTCATCTCACTGAGTATTTACAGCTCAAACTCATGGTTATTTACTTTTCTCAAACCAGTTAGGTTGTTGACTCCTCTTCCATTTCTAATATAGGAAAAAAAAATTATTATACAGTTTAGTTTGTATTAAATTACAAAATATAAATTATTAAATGAAAGTAAGTGTTTTGATGTTGAGAATCTTCTCATTTAACCTTTTCTATTTTAAAATTTAATGCAATTCAAATAATAAAACGTGTAATTCTATAAAAAAATTAAAAAAAAAATTATAATTCTAAGAGTTGAATTCTTTACAAATAAATAAATATTATTTTATAGATCAAATTAAAAATTTAAGTCTTAAGATTGGTATCCAAAAAACTTAGTTTCTTTGAAAATAGAAGATTGATACAAAGGTACATCTTTAAAATCGTTCAAAAAAAAATTACATTTGAAATACGTAAATATTAATAAGAGAACATCATGATAGTAAATAAAAAATAAAAAAAGAAAAGAAAAGAAAAGAAAAGTTACTACTAAGTGTGACATGATATCGTGAGGTTGGAACGTTGTAAGAATTCGATGCAGAAACAGCATGGTTGCACCAAATCTGGAAGAAATTGGAGTTTTTGTCAATATCATTATATCTAATGAAATAATGAAGACAGCTCAATCATAGCAGTAGTTTGACTGTCATTTTTGACACTGGAATCCGCGTCATTTAAGCTTCTCTCTTAAGGAAAAAAAAAACAACAATAATACTACTAATTAAGAAAATAAAATTTGTTTATATTTTTACTAATTTCTTCCTAATTAATTATTCTTTGTTAATTGTAGACATTACAATAACGCCTACTATGCTAAGGTGGGTGGAATCAGCACAGCAGAGATGAACCTTCTTGAGCTGGACTTCTTATTTGGACTGGGCTTCCAATTGAACGTGACTCCCTCCACTTTCCACACCTACTACTCTTTTCTCCAAAGAGAGATGTTGACTCAGTCTCCTTTGCATTTAGCAGAACCTCTCGTGCATCTGGACAGATCTCTAAATGTCCATTGCTGTTTTGGTGAAGATGAGTCCAACCATCAACAGCAACTTGCTGTTTAAGCATTTGCTATTTAGAATTTTGCGTAGCTCTGTTCGAGTTTGCAAACAAATGATTTCTGAAAAATCAAAGATAACACGATTAGTTAATGTATGATAAGTGAAGTAATCAATAGAGATAGATAAATGATGCCCCTATTTGTTTTCTGCAAGAAAACATAAGGTATCCTCTGTTTATCTCTAAGTATCTTGCTTCACATATATGCATTGATGATCGAGTTATCTTAGCAATAATTTTCAAGAAATCATTTTTTGTGAACCAAATAGAGGGTAACCTAAGGTTTTTTTCCCTTTTTTTTTTTTCTTAATTTTGGCTTGAAGACTCTGGGCATGGTGTATGTACAGATGGGATTTTGTAGCTAGTGACAATCTGGCTAACATGTTTTGTGATAGTGTTTGGCTGTTTAATGGGTTATTTTGGACATATGGTAATGCTGTCATCCTTACAAAATACTGGGGATGGATGGGTTCCATTTCTTCCAACCCCAATTTAAATTTTAAA